GGGGGGGGTAACAAAATTGTTTACACCCCCTGACCTAAATTCTAAAACCACCCTTGCTTTGCACGAAGCGCCATCAACTTTTGATTTTTTTCGCTAAGCTAGGATGTTTTTTGATAGATGAATTATCACAAAGGTTGAAAAAATATTGACCCAGATTTTTATTTTTCATCGGCTGCAGGCTGTTGTTTGAACAGTAACATCGGGTATAAATACATATAGATGGATATTTATATATTTATATAGATATATTATTTATCTATATCTATTCTATATCCATATATCTATATATCTATATCTATATATCTATATATCTATATATCTATATCTATATCTATTCATCCTTTCTTTCATTCATATACCACAAGTTTCCCGGAAGCTGCCTGCCGAGTCAGAAAATCAAACACCGGCAGATCGCTAACTGGCATAGTTTCTAGGGCGGTATCTCACTCTGGACCGTAGTAAATTTGAATTCGAACAGGACCTGCCCAGTTTGTACCGGCCTGCCAGATAACAGCTTGTACTGACCCGATCCTATGGTAGCCCGGTTCAATATTCTGTACAGTACGTCGACCTAACCAGACTAACATACGACAGGGGTCAATATTCTTGGCATAGTCCCGTCGGAGGGCTAACTATGACAACTCCTATGGCGCGTTTAGACTTTTTAAGCGTACCCGGCCTAATCCTAGGTCTATTTGACCGACCCCACTGGCTTAGTCCACCGTGATCTAATCGCCTTCGAACCTCTAATTTGGGTACTTCCTTGCACGGCTATAGAGATCACTTCATCACCATGATCCCACTGCAGACAGGATTGTTTACCAAGTTGTAAAAGAGTACGAATAGATTTCAAAGATTTATGGATGTGAAAGTTTATGTTTGTGGCAAAGACTCAATTCATCTCTGTTTGTTTCTTTGTATGCCCGATCATAATTTTGCAGGAATCCATTAAACGATTTGCCTCAAATTTTGACAGGGGAACTCTGTAGAACCCCGGGAATGTTCTGAATAGGTTTAAAAGTATATATATCTATATCTAGTGAGGACCTGGAGAAATAGATCTTGAGTTTAATCCTATAGATTACAGTTACTATGAGTATATATATATACATATATATATATATATATCTAGTGAGGACCTAGAGAAATAGATCTAAGAGTTTGATCCTATAGATTACAGTAACTATGAGTATATATATATATATATATATATATATATATGTACATATATATATATCTATATCTAGTGAGGACCTGGAGAAAATAGATCTAGAGTTTGATCCTATAGATTACAGTAACTATGAGTATATATATATATATATACTTGATTTTAGTGGGCCTAGCAAGGATAAGGTAAAGATTATTTTTTATTATTATTGTATAAAAAAAAATACTTAAAATTTAAAGTGAAAATCCGCAGTATTTGGTATCACAGCAAATTACTGGTTTACATTTTTGTTATACCTCAAAAATTTTTTGATGTTTTATTATGAAATTTTGGTAAACATTAAAATAAACATTTTCCCAACAACTTTTCTAAAGATTTAAACTTTACTTGGTTTTTGAACGTTTCAAAAATATTTTACAATTATGCCTAAAATCCAAAGCAAACCAGAAGTTCAAAAGTTTTGTCCAAAACATCAATAATCCCGGTTTTTACTCACCCTGTATATCAAATGAGAAAACTTTAAACAGAAATAAGTTACTTAAGTTTATCATTCATAATGGAACTATTGTTCAAAATGATTGAACATTATTTTAGATTCGCTAAAAGATTAAATAGTTATTTTTTATTGTAGGATTCTGAAAAAAGTGACAACTTTAGTAAAAGACGAATAAGGTAAAATTAATTAGGAAATTATCTATTTATAAAAAAATAAGTTAAACCCAAAAACAAATATCAATCAAAAGAGTTCAAGTTGAATTTTGTAATTTTTAGAAAATTTGACGTGAATATTAAATGAGGGGTGTAAATTTGACGTGAATATTATGTAAGGGACGTTGACGTGAAATTTATATGAGGGACGTAAATTTGACGTGAATATTATAAAAGGGACGTAAATTTGACGTGAATATTTTATGAGGGACGTAAATTTGACGTGAATATGATGTGAGGGACGTAAATTTGACGTGAATATTATATGAGGAACGTAAATTTGACGTGAATATTATATGAGGAACGTAAATTTGACGTGAATATTATATAAGGGACGTAAATTTGACGTGAATATTTTATGAGGGATGTAAATTTGACGTGAATATTATATGAGGGGTGTAAATTTGACGTGAATATTATATGAGGGACGTAAATTTGACGTGAATATTATATGAGGGACGTAAATTTGACGTGAATATTATATGAGGGACGTAAATTTGACGTGAATATTATATCAGGGACGTTAATTACTATCAGCTAGATTCTGACATGGAATTTTTAAATCAAAGAAAAGTAGTTGAACTAGTCGCGCCTTTTTCAAACAATCTTCTTATCGTAAGTTCTGATAATTTGATGGCAGATCTTTGTAAAAAATAAGATAAAATTAACTATTGATTGCTAGACAGTAGACACTGAGCTGAGTTGGTTTAAAGTTTGCAGAATTCAATACCTCCTCTCCATTACTTTTGAGTTTGTTAATTTCAAATCCTTTAATTTTCAATTTTGTTTACTATAGACGTCCTGTTGGTCCTAAATATGCTGTTATCCCGACAGATAGACCTAAGGTTTATGCACATGGATACACAAGGTATACATTATATAGTTGATAATTTAAAACAAATAATCAGAGATGAACGAAACTTTTGAATCCCAACTAAGTCTAGGACGAGCGGGGGAAGGCCAGGCGGCCATGAGCCACCACTATTTCCCCTTCCGTACCACCACATTTGACTCTTCCGGGCAAAACTACTCTTTTAAATGGTATATTTAGGGCTTCAAAGTGTGATTTTAAAAAATCCAGCCGCTTAAGATTAATATTTAGTGTGTTGAATTCTTAAACTGTTTTACAATGAAATTTTTGACAAATTTGACTGAGTATTGCATCTTGAAATATCACAAAGTTGGTTAATGAGTGATTTTAAGATGGATTTAGTATAATGAGTCAGTAATTGAATAATCATTAGACTGCAAACTATTAATTCTGGTAGATCAAATAGTCTAAGTTTGAAATATCAAAGGTTTACACCATCAGGTTGCAAAGATATAGAAGATAGAAAATTTAAGTTTGTTGCAAAAACTCTTTTATTCCTTTATTCTTCCTCTGTCTATAGTTCAATGTGAGCCGCAGAATTTATTTTCGAGTTGAAATTCTGTCATTAACGGATAAAAGATACCCGCCCTATTTTAAAGTTTATTCACCAAAAAATTTCCCATGGAATGACATAGTTCGCTTTAAGATTAAAAATATATTTTAGAATCATTTTACAGGTTCTGTTAGAAGATTAAGATTCTCCAATTGATATTTTTATTCTGTTACAGGAATAAAGTGAGGCTGTCCTACCTTCCTCTTAAACAAGTTCAGACTAGGGTTGGAACAAGCGTTTTTTTACAAGGTTAGAATCATATTTGAAATTAAAAAGATTTTATTACCATATTTATTTATATTTATGCAGGGTCACTTTAAATCACGATTACAGTCCCTTTAAGTCCGTCTTCTATAAGATATGGTGTATTATGCACTATTCAATTTAACTTGAAATATTTATGGCTAGTTAAAGTTCTTCTTTAGTGCACTCTTAGTCCCACTATAGTTAAATAGTTCAACTCTCCGTACTTAGTTCAACTACTTCTAGCTTCTCATGATATCCCACCTTATATCTTTTTAACTTAGATTTTTGATTTATCAATCATAATTAGTTTTATCTGATTATTGTTTATTTAGGTCTCGGGTCACAGTTTGATTTTGGAGGTATGTTAACCCTTGCTGGTTTATGGTTCTTCTACAGATTCTTCTTGGTACAAAAATTTGTCATAAAGTCATTAACGAATTTTGCAATGATTTATGTATGATGACAAAATGTTTTTGTACTGTTTTCTCTTTTTTATTCTTGATTATGGGAATATTTTTCATAGACTAAGAATATCCCTATCCCCAGTATGTTTTTTTTAATTGATTATAGCACTATTTTCTTTCTGTTCGACATTTCTATAAAAATAAAAGATGCAAAATTTCAACGCATTTTGCAAAAATTTATGAAATTTCTGCTGAAAGAATTCTAAAATTATTTCTAAGATTTAATCTTTATGAACTAATCAAAATAGATAATTACACAATAAGCGATGCACTAACCATGAAAATAAAATTAGACTTGGATCCACGTAAAACTAACTTATAACGCGGTGCAATCCGAATAGTCTACATCATTTTGGACCTCTAGTTTACCGTGGATCATAAAAATGTTTATAAGCGCAAATTCTGGTGGGCAGTCAAATAAACAATTATTTAAAATATTTTGCGTTCAATTGCGCAATTTAGTCCAAAAGTTTTCTCAACCTGCAAGCAAATTTGCGTGATTTGTGAAACTTTTTCTTCAGCAAACTCATGATTAAATTATTTGACAAATTTTTAAAACATTTTTCTTTATTTTTTCAGTTTGATAACATTCCAACAACAATCTTCGTTGATTTAGGTATTTTTAAAATTAAAATCATTTTAAAAAATATTTAAAGGGACTGTAGGCGTAATTAAAATTGTGACCATCCACGCAAAGATGGAAATAATTTGGAATATGCTGTCGTTTTCTAGATTTAAAAGGGAATGTCTTTTAACTGTTATTTTAAGTAAAAGTATCCAGGATTCAATTCTGTAAAAAGGACAGAGTTTGCTCAAAAAATACATCCTGCTCGTTAGTGCGGCACCTCCCGGCTCATCATGGCTAACAACTGGCTCAATCAAAGAAAAACTCAGAAAACAATCAATACTTTCCTAAAACAATCATCCACTACTTTAATCTCGAGCATAAATAAAAATCAAAATTACAAAAACTGAGCCAGTCCGTCAAAAATAAATGTTTAAAACACTCCAGTTATAAAAATATTCTTACGAGAAAAGACAATACAAAAAGGCTTGAAAATCCGATCTAATGATGGTAGATAAAATCGCTAGAAGCATGGAATGGAATCACCTGTGTAAAAATTGTTTTATTAATTATGTTAAATTTTTAGAATGTGCTTTCCTACAGTAGAAATGCGTACTGTAGAGAAACCACAGTTGAAAATAAACAGTTTTCAAATTTATAAACATACATATTTCATTCATAATTGATCAGACAAAGCTTTTAGGGGTACCATCGTTAATGGGGCCTTGTCATCTTTGCTTGTAGGGTCACTTGAAATTACGCTTACAGTCCGTAAAGAAAAAAATGGAAAGGCAAAAAACCAAAATAAAAAAGTTTAATTTATTTAATTTTTTTCTTTTCTAGTTAATAGCATAGGAAGGACAACCCCAGACAATAGATTTATAGGTAAACCTAATAAACTATATATTATCAACGGATTTGTAATGTTATTTATATTTTAGAGAATGTAGCCAAGCTATTGGAAAACGTACAGAGGTTCCATTCCAAGGTTTCGAATGACTTGGCTTATCAAGATCATACAGATCATCAAGATCGTAATGACCATCAAGATCACCAAGAACAACCAGATTATCAAGATCGTCGAGATCATACTAAAGAAAGAAATGATTGGAACAAAGAACTTGTTGCTTTTGACGGCAATGAGATACTTTTACACAATGCTACAGAGTTAGATAGTTTGATTTAATATCAAAGTAAAAACCCTGCCATCGGTGAGATTTAAAACCACTCTTTGTTTTGAAAAATAGTTTTAGTTACAGATATGATTCTGGAGTTTCCTTTTTGGGGGCTGTACATTCTGTTTGTACAAGTTTCCGATACTGGGTTTTATAACCAAACACTGTCATAAGTTTTTGGCTCTGAGTGCCCACTAACAGTGCAATAAATGAACGATCAAGTACAAATTTAAAATTACAAAAAAATCGCCGTTTTTTAGGTAAAATTCTCTTTATAATAAATATCCGTTCATTAAGCCTATTTTTGTATTATATAGAAATATACTTATAATTTCATAATAGCAAAATTGAAATAATTAAAAAATATGATATACAATTTTCTTACGAATATTTATGCTATTTCAACGATAAATAGCAATTTTGCAGCAAGTTTTTATATAATAAATCATAATAAATCATTGTCATAGAAGATAAATAGATTTATTGTAGATAGATATATATATCGTTCTTCCATATGTTTAAATATTGTAAATTTACTCCTATTTATTTTTCTAGTTGTATCATGTCTTATTAGCATGTTGTATATGTAACGAATATGCTACCATGATCAATGTAATCTTTATTATCTATGTTTCGTTATCTCTTTTATCTATGTTCATATTGACCCTGACTGGCCATTCCGGTCAAATCTATTTTTTACCTGTATTAATAAAGTAGTAATGTATGAAACGTTGATTTAGACGGACGTGTATAGAGCCTTGAGTTTTGGCTAGAGATATAGAGCCTTGAGTTTTGGATAGAGATAGAGTCAGTGAGACTAGAATTAGACTAAGAGTTGAGTAATCTCGGGAACTAGATTTATTACATATAGTTCTAATGTTTAATTGTATTTAATTTTAATTTTGCGTGCTGTAATTGTAAAGCCTTTAATTTAACGCTTTTATATATACAAATTATAATTTAAATTAAACTAAATCTGAACAGCAGAAGTATAAAAATCACGCAAATGATATTATAATGAATATTATTCCTTGTTTTAATAATATCAAATGTGGAATACTTTCCAACGAAAGTGGATATTACTTGTGCGCGATTTCGAGCCCTTGCACGCAAGTGAAGTTAACTGCGCGCAATTCCGCAATAATTGCGTGCAATAAATGCTAGTATTTAATAATCATATGACTGAAATCAAGGTGGTTTCTGTATTCGTAAAAAAAACTTTGTTTTATAGGTCAATTTGCATCAAATTTTTTACAGTTTAAAAAATGTTTATTTTGAAATAGTTAGTTTAAAGTTATGTACATTTTACACTTATAAAGTATCTACATATTACATGTTACAAGAAGATAATGCATATTAATTAATTATATGACTGAAATCAAGGGGATTTCTCTATCATAAAAAAACCATCATTCATAGGATAAATTCCATTCAATTTTTTAGATTTTGAAGATTGTAATTTGAAATGAAATATATTTATAAATGAACATTCATCTCTGTATCTAAAAGTAGTAATCTGTTAATGTGGAGCCTGCACATGGAAATCCAGCCCCTCCCACCCATTTGAATAATAAAATTATTATCATGTGTAGTTGCATATTTTCCTTTCAAAAAGATCATTTATAATCCTCCACACTTCAGCAAAATTACATAATTGATATAATTTAACATGTTTTTTTTTCACACACCAGCTTTAAACTTTCACCTACATTAATTTTTAGATAGTGAAACGTTTTCAATTCCGCAAGCATAAAAGGTTGAACAACTTTTATAGATATTAAGATTAAACATAGATATAAGATAATCTAGACTGTTTTTTGCAACCTGCATGAACTCAATCTAAATCTCTAAATTAGTTTTAAATATTCAAATATATTTATTTCCCCATGAATAAAAGGGGACTAAAGAGTGGAACAGATAAAAATTTAATAAGAACTTTATTTTTTGTAAGTGATGAAGATAAATGTATATTTTCTGAAAACTTTACGTACAAGCTGTTATAGTACTGCAGTACGTGTCATTGCTTACACTGTTGTAGTACAGTGTACATTATACAGCTGATTTTGCGGCTTCATAGCGACCTTAAGAGTGGCGAACTGGGCACGATCTCATAAGCTATCGATGTCAACCGGACACTAGCTCATACTCTATCAAGGCCAAACCAATGAGTGAAATCTTAGCTCGTATGTTTCAACGAAAACCAAATTACTCTCTTGGCAGTAATCAAATCGGAGTCTCTGCATCAACTGAGTATATTTCTTCATGTTAGATTAGAGTTAGATCTTAACAGCGTAATTACAAGTTATGGGCTGTTATATATAACGTAGTTAAGCAATCACAATATGGGTATGACAGAGTTATATATATCTACGTATCTAGATTGGGTTAATCTCAATACATGATCTACGGATTTACTAATGTGCACATTTAGCTATATTGACAATATGGACAAAGTACAACGTAATTTATCTAGATTTACTATGGGCCTCTTGATTTATTACAGGACAAAGATCAGTAATTAAAACACAACTGTTAAAATATTAAAGGAAATGTCGTCCTTTAATCTTGACTACCTGGGCCTTCTGGTGTATACCCTAACCCAACATCCACTGTATGGGTATTTTCAACATGAGGGGTTTATACACATGTGAATTGTGAACATTCATTCACTCATTATTAAACAGAACAGTGAACTGCATAGTTATTTAAATATCTTTTAAAATTATTTGATTTCGATTATAACCTACAATATTTCAGAATTATGTAAACCATCAGTCACGCTGGTACATGTCCAGAAACCTTTACTTTTATAGCTTTTTTTCGGCTAATGTAAACAAGTTTTTTATTTTTTATTTAAAATACTTTCCTATTTTGAATTGTTTTAAAGAAAATGCCACTTTATCGGAATAAAATAATAAGAAAATTCCTTCATTTTTATTAGTTGTATCAATGCAATTTAAACAAACTTCTTCATATTCAATTATTTTTCTTTTATCCTTACTTTGTAATTTACTGAATTTTTTTTGCAGGTTTTAACTTTTCTACATCGATGTTAAAATTTACTGAATAAAGTCCTGTGCTGAAGTGTGACGTTTTATTTCAACAACCACAGTCCACAACTACTTTGTCTCCCCCAACTCCCCTAAAAAATATTCAAATTTGCATATAAGCAATGTAAATTTTCCATATCAAATTACTTAATTTAGAATTAACTAGGAAACCCAGCGCTGCCCAGGTTACCCAAAGTTACTCCCGCCGTTTACCCGCACTTGAATGATTTTACCGGGAAATTTCATTTTCAACCCACTCAACAAATATAGATGAGCTGTAAAGATATGTTATACCGCTTGGTATTGTCCTCCAAGTCTGTCTGTGTTTATCACATTTTTTTAATTCTCCCAGGGGTCCACACAGGAGGGGGCTGCGTGCAGTGAAATCTATTGATTTCAGGGGGTTTTCAGGCGCCAACGGGTGCTGTTTCTTTGTTTTTTGTTTGTGTGTTGTCTCTTTTATGGTGTTTTGTCTCATTGTTTGTTTGTTGTTTCTTTGTTTGGGAGTTGTCTCTTTGTGTGCGTGTTTTATATCTGTCTGTTTGTTTGTGTGTTGTCTGTTTGTTTTTGTGTGTTTGTTGTATATTTGTTTGTTTGGCGAATTTGTCTGTTTGTTTGTGTTTTGTCTGTGTGTTTGTATGTTGTCTGAGTGACTGGAATCTTGATATCTGTTAAATACTTAATTACACCAATACAGCGAATACTGAAAGAAGATTGGAATGTTAGATATAGTATTATAAAGAGTTAACCTTATCTGACCGGGGAGGGGGGGGGAGGATATAGTATTATTAAGAGTTAACCTTATTTGACCAGGGAGGAGGATGGGGGGATATGACTCACAAAGTTTAACAAGAAAAGTTATATATACAATTTTTGAGAATTACACTTTTCATGAAAAAGAACTACTGGTTGTTTGTATGATACTGAAAATAATATTTATTTTTGGATGAAAAGATAAAAAAATAAATGTCCCGTACGTTGAGCTCAGAAGGAGAGGGTCCGGGGGGGGGGGTCCACGACACATTTGATTAGAAATCATAACATTTCGATTTTCCTTTATTTTAAAAATAAAGCTTTGAATTTATTGGTTGTAACTTCAGCTTATTAATTTTGAAGAAAATAAAGAATCTCCATAAATAGAAATAAGATACTTCCATGGCCAAATTTTTATTCACCTAATACTGGATTGAATTCATTTGGAAATTAAAAATCTTAGAATTTAATCATTTTTCATGGATTTATAAATTCACCACTTTCTCGTCAAAATATAAATATGAACTACAAATAGTTATAATGTAATATATTTTAAAATGAATATATTATAAAATGCAAAAATTATAATAATTAACATAACAACAGGATCGATATTCTATCACAACATTTGAGTACACCAGAATAAGAATTATTTTTATTGCAAAATAATGCATTATTGATAAGGAATAAAAACATTGAGTATTTACCCCCCCCCCCTCTTCATCATATACTGTTGAATATTAGACTGCCGATTTCTCAAGTATCAATGGCCTATGCATGATACTGCTTGAATAATCAAGCAAGTCATAGAATAAATATTAAAGAGATAAAGCCCTTGATAAATGTAATTCGACGAGTCCTCTCAAGCTAAAAATGAATAATGCATCATGTTTTATTGCCACAATGTACTAAAGCATAAAATTTCTACATTTAATAAATGATTGTTTCCCCCCCCCCCTCGACCCCAATATAGATCAAAAATCGTTTCATGAATCGAGCTAGTATGAGGATTTTCAAAAAGGTGTTTTTAGAGCAGTTAAAAACAAATACAGGGTGACCCACTAAGGATTAGACTTCAGCGACGACTGTACGGTATTCTTACTGTTTTTTTTTCTTAGTTATGTGCATGGGTTTCCTGCAACTGGAAACTTGATTCTTTCTTTGCCAATTTATTAATAAAGTCATTCAACGACTTTATTCAAGGCAAATGACTTAATTTAATCATGAAACCATCATATTTAAAAAGGTTCAGGTCGTCTTTACAGTCTCATCCTTTGTGGTTAACCCTGTACTTTTGTAATCTCCAGTAAGGTGAACGTTAATAGGTTTCTTGATTGATTGATTAGTTGGAGTCAACAATAAACCTCTTCATAATTGCGGAAATTATGCAAATGATTTAGTTAATGTTAATCTTGAACACTTCTTCCAGTCACGTTGGCCAAAGTCGTGAACCCATCTTACTATAAGACAGACGTCACGTAAAATATTTTGTTATAATATTTACCACATGTGTCACGTTAAACATTTCTTTGTATAGGATCTCAACAACCACATATGTCACGTTATAACATTTCTTTGTATAGGATCTCAACAACCACATGTGTCACGTTATAAGATTTCTTTTTATAGGATCACAACAACCACATGTTTCACGCTAATCTTTTTTGTATAAGATCTCAACAACCACAAGTTTCACGTTCAGTTTCTATGGATAGGATCACATCTACCAAATATGTAACGTTATATTTCTATGTGCAGGATTACAAAAACCACATGCTTCTCGTTAAATTTCTTTGGGTAGGATCACATCTACCAAATGTGTAACGTTTTATTTCTATGTGTAGGCTCACGCCTAAACATGTGTAAAGTTATATTTGGGTAGTTTCAAATCTACCAAATGTGTAACATTATATTTCTTTGTGTAGGATTACACTAACACATGTGCCACGTTATATAACTTTTTACTGGATCACATCTAACACATTTGTCACATTACATTTCTTTGTGTAGGATCACAACAACCACATGTTTCACGTTAAATTTCTTTGGGTAGGATCACATCTACAAAATCTGTAACGTTCATTGCATTGGATCACAAGAACCATACATTTTACTTTAAAGTTCTTCAGGTAGGATCACATCTATAAAAATATGTAAGATTATATTTCTATTTGTTAGGATCAAACCTACACATGTGTCACGTTATATTTTTTTTTAAAACTTCATAAGGTGTCACGTTATATTTAATACGGTCACGTAAATTATGGTCTATGGTGTTCCTGTAACAGGACCAAAGGTATAAAATCACTTCCTTTATCATCTCACGTTTTAATAGATTTCAAGCATTTTCAAGCATCGTTAATTATTAATATTGTTTCTCACTTAAATTTTTATGTTTTAAGCACGTGTTTTTCTTAAAATCTGGTCAAAAATATTTTTAAAGCACCTGTACTGTTAATTAATTAAATACCCAGAATATATGTAATATGTACACGTAACATGTACATGTACATACATGAATATGGCAGGAGGAACGTTTTGAGTAATTTTAATCGGTTGATTTTTATCACTTAGATACAGCAAAGGCCGAATAGTTTGTTTTGAAAAAAAAACTTTGCGTTAAAAGATTTTTTAAATTCTGCTAATGCTGGTCCGAATAGAATAAAATCTGTAAGTGCAGAGTGTGCTGGATTAGCTGATTACACCCAGGAAGGAAGTGGGAACGAATCCTTCCTCCGATAAATCAATACGTTGAACCTTCGTCCATCCTTTGTAATCTGTCTCCGTGATATGGAACTCCTCTCCTGCTCTCATACTGATACTACTCTCCTCCTCATTCTACAATATTTTCAGAATATTAAGTATTACACGTCCTGCAATATTAAAAATCCCAAATTCTTTGCAACTTGGCGGTGTAAACTGTAAATTTATAAATTACAACATCATTTATGATGATTTAGGCTTGACAACTTTGTGATTGTAAGTTGTGAGGGTGACTAAAATGTATGTACCTGGAAATCAAAGAGAGCTCGGACTAGATCAAGGGTAGGAGGAGGAGGAGGGGGTAAACTTTCAAAATCTTCTTGATAATCGTCCTCGGGCCACGTAGAACTAGAATCCTCCCAGGCAGATCCAACCTCAGGTATCCGACCCTTCTCTCCCAAACTATCCGTGTCCTAAAGATATTTACTGTTTAAACGGACTGTATGGACTGTATAACGTTATTTCAAACTTTGTGTGCAATTCCCCCCTAAAAAACATTTTTCTGATTGGTTTGATTTGAACTTCCTCATTCTCTGTCTCTGTTGCATAAATCCGCAAGCCACTTTTACAGAGAAATTATCAATTTCTGTTTTTGCTTAGACTAGGGTTTAAAGTGAACCAGTGTAGATCCGTCATGCCCATCTTTAAATTGAGGGCAATTGAAATAACTTCGAAAGTCCCTTTAAGAATTCTTATTTATTTACAGCATAATGAAACTTGAGGACTCTAAAAATTCAAATAAGTTTTGATTTGGACTTAAGCTGGGATTAAGTCCAGCTTTATCAAAAAAAACACCTTGATTCAGTCTTTTGTACTGCACAGCACTTATTTTTCCGATGAAAAGGGAAGAAAATTGTTCAATTAAATTGCATAGTTTGCGGAAGAAAGTTTTGATTCATGGTTTAATACCTGCTCGGAAGAATTTGAAGAGTTACTGATAGTTCCATATCCTACAGAACCTCTCTCACTTTGGGAGGGAGATCCACGATCTGATTTAGGGGTGTCCAGGGGGGTACTCCTAGATATATACAGATTAGGATTGTCCAGAGGGGTATAAGATTGAATGCTTTGGGTTTTAAAAATTGAATTTTCTTGGCTCTATTCGAGCGTCCATCTTTCACTTTTTTACATACTTTAAACCTTAAGCTTGTTCCCATTTAAGACCCCAATAAGGGCGAGTCTAAAGGAGGGCCTCATTTATGCAGAATATCGTATGTAGGTGTTTATGACAAGGTGTCCCAGAATATTGAGAAATCTAGGAAACCCTTTTAATTTGATTTTGTTTCTCTTTCTGTCTTCTTTAACAATCCTTATTGGTTAAAAGTGTAGAATGCACAGCTTCAAAGTAGGAAATATATTTCAATGTTTTTACATCATCATCAATCCTCAAACATAAGAAGGTAGTTTCAGTCTATTTCTACAATTTATAACCTTTCTAAAACAATAGGAACTTGTAGTGATTATTCAAATAGAGAATCATTAACTTTGAAATTATTGAAATCAAATATTATTTTTAAACATGCAAGGAATATCAAACTCAAATACATTTCGCGCCAAAGTAAGATAAATCTGAACTTTCTCGTAAATTTTTAGTTGATTGTCTCTAACTTTCCAAAATGTGGCGGGAAAATTGATTAAATTCTCGCGTGGATTTGTAAGTTATAAAAATGCCAAACCACATTTTGAAAATCCAAATTTGAAGTGCTAAAAGTGTAATAAAAGTGTATATTGTACATAGCTATTTACGAAAAAATCAAAGACAATTTGAAAGATGCCATGCATGTTTAATGTTTATCGGGACACACTTTATCTAGCACATAAACTAGAAGTAGATTACTATACATGGACAGATAGATAGATATTGCAGGTGATAAGGTTTTTATTCGCAGAATAGAAGTTTCGGGATATATAACTACAGAAACTGAACAGTCTTCATATAGATAGAATTTTCAGATAGGAGAAACTTAAATCTTAATTATAACTATCCGTCATCAGACAAAAGTATAAAGGGTATTTGTGAATCGGTTAGGTAACTCTTTCAATGAATTGAAGAGAACCTGCAATTGAAATCAATAAATTTTAAGATAGAAAAAGACTAAAAAATCCATCTCTTTAGTTCAGAAAAGAGTTAAACACTCTATAAATAGAGGGTCACTTAAAATTTCGTCTACAGTCCCTTTAAAATATTGTTGACAGTCCCTTTAAAATATTGTTGACAAACCTTTTAAAATATTGCTGACAATCCTTTTAAAATATTGTTTACAGTCCCTTCAAAATATTGTTGACAATCCCTTTAAAATATTGTTGACAATCCTTTTAAAATATTGTTGACAATCCTTTTAAAATATTGTTGACAATGCTTTTAAAATATTGTTGACAATCCTTTTAAAATATTGTTGACAGTCCCTTTAAAATATTGTTGATAATCTCTTTAAAACCCAGATGTTGGTTTGAGTGTATATCTAGAATCATACATATATATATTGTATATAGTATATACTATGTCAAATTAGTAAACGTTTAACTTTAATTAATCTAATAAAAAAACACGTTTTAGTTTAAATCAAGTTCAAAAAGTCCTTCAGCGACACAACTAGAAAAATGGTCCCTAATCCAAACACAACATTTTGTATATATTGTGTACATTTCAATCCTTTATAATTTAAATTTATTTTTGCAGATCTTCTTGCGCTAAAATTCTTTGTCCTATTTTAAATATACAGCAAAAAATAAAGAAGAATTTATTTGTAAAGATTGTAATTTACATAATCTCCTGCTATAATACTTCTTACAGAACATCAGTCATGTAGAAATATAGATAGATAGATAGATAGATAGATAGATAGATAGATATATAAATAGATAGATAGATAGATAGATAGATAGATAGATAGATAGATAGATATAGATAGATAGATAGATAGATAGATAGATAGATAGATAGATAGATAGATAGATAGATAGATAGATAGATAGATAGATAGATAGATAGATAGATAGAAATGCTATGGATGAAAGAGGAAGATAAAAGTAAAGGTATTTTGTCTGGAATTATCTAGCCGTGACACTAGAATCCATTTACTTGAAATTCAGAATCCTAAAAACATTCCAAATATTTCTTTCTGATTTTAAATTTTAAACTTTTGTCAGAATCGATTTTCTACCTGTTGTTCAAAATATCTAATTTTGAGTCAATCTGAGCCAATTCTGATTTCAAGGTATGCAGCTCACTTTCATACTTCTGCACCTAAATTTATTTCATCGTCAATATGTAATTTTTTTGTAAATTTATAATGATTATAATTTGAGTTATGAAAATTCTAAATTTTTAAAGACAGGTTGCAAAATCCCAAATTTAAATATTTTTTTTTAATTACCTTAAATGTTGCTGCTTCTAATTCTCCCTGGAATTTATTAGCATCTCCGAACTGAGGATTTTGGCTGAAAATGAATATAATTCCTTTATCAATTATGAAAACAATTATCATTAAAAAATTAAAGAGTTGCGTGCCTGCTTAACAAAGGTACCATTTAAACCTTTATCTGAGTAATAATGAGTAAGATATTGTGATATCGTTAAAAGTGCTGAATTCCGCAATTTCTTCTGCTAAAAATTTATTATAAGTTACAGAAAACCTCAAATCAAAATTATCAATTTTCAGTTAGTAAAACTAAAGATATCTTTATCAGCCCAGAAGAAAGTTTAAATTGTACTATTGTGAGACGGACGTGCTTTTTAATAAATAGAGGGTAACTTGAATTTACGTCGAAGTCCTTTCAGTAGTTTTGTACCTGTACAGTACAGTATTTTTGTACTGTACAGTACAGTAGTTTTGTACCTGTACAGTACAGTAGTTTTGTACCTGTACAGTACAGTAGTTTTGTACCTGTAAGTTTCGTACATCAAGCGCAGAGCAGATATTTCCTTCTGACCTAAAATAAAAAAAAGATTTTAAATTTTTTTCAATCCTAATTTTAATTTTGTATTCGAAGTTAAATACCTTTTAGTATTTCTGCTTCCATTGCTTCGATTTTTTTCTCCCATTCCCGTTTTTTTGGAAACAGATTCTGGTTTTCAATTGGTTGAGGAGCTCTAAATATTTATAGATATGTGTTTATTGACATTTATTATGAAACAAAGCATACATATTACACATTATACATACATATATATTTAATACATATATGAATGAACATTTTTGTAAACTTTTACATCTACATATATTAGTTTTGGCAATGGGCATTATACGCAAGGGCCAAATGCGGCGATTTGAACGTTAGGTAAATCATCAATAGCGGAATTATTATTTTTATGAAATTTTTTACTTACTTAGAGGTACTTTTTTCAGAACATGGTTTCAATTGGATTAAATTAATAAATGTGAAGAGGTTGAAATTAATGAATAGTTCAAAACTAGTTTTGTAGTATGACCGAAAGTGCACTAGAGAAGTGTTTTAACTAGCCATACCTAGTTCAACTACTTAACTCATGTAAATAGATAGATATAATGTTTAGTTTACCTGGATCGTTTCTGCAATGTTTTATATTTGTCTGCTCCGAGTCCAATATGTAAATCCTCGAAATCTGTATCTCCAGGAGGAACATTTCCCGTCTTATATCTAGACAAAATTAAGATGTAAAATCTGTCAGTTTGGTTTCGTAAGGCTTAAAAAAATCCAATTGGCTGGCACGTTTTAAATTGTTGCGTTTACTAAATTATTTTAGTTAAAGGATAATTTTAAGATTTTTTAATCTACAACTTTCTGTTTTTAATTACGTTTGACTTTTTGTTTAGACAAAGCTGTGAAACCTTAAAACTGATTAAATTGGATGCTTGGTGTTGATACTTTTTCATGGTACAATATCAGTCCTTCCATACTCCATGGTATCTCCTAACTTATTCCTGTCTTATTTTACTTCTGCCTTTTGCCCAGTCCTCGATCAACTATGTCTGCATCTTAATCCTCTTCTTCCATCCTTGGTCTAGAAGTATCTACTACAGGGTGTCCCACAAAACATTAAAGTTTTGAGATGACTTGAAGATCGTCTTTAATCTTTAAAATATATGGCGGCATTTATACGTAAACCTTATTAAAACAGTAAAAACAAAATAGCCCCAGTCCTGGTTTTTCCAAAATGTAGTCTATCTTTTTTGTTCTTTAAAAATTACCGTTGATAAACTAAAATTTTCTAAATCTGAACGAAATTTTTGTTATATCTCCGGCAATTTTATTTTAAAAGCAAAAAAAGTTAGACATTATTTTGGAAATGTTGCGCGGTACCAGAGGTATTTTGCTTTTAAGAAACATACTTATACACTGAGAGTGTCGAATAAATACCGCAAATTTGTTCAATGATTAAGACAATCTTTAAGTGTGAGATGATTAATGGGACACCCTGTATCTTGCAGCTGGTTTGTTTTAACTGCCTGCCAACTCCTACCTAGGCTTATATTCTTCAATACATTTCTCTCTTCTATCCTCCTCAGAATATATTACAGCTTAAACGTTTACTTCATTGCCAATTTATCATAGTTTTAGCTCTTTTTATATAAACCTTTAATCATCAATAAAACATCTCCTGCTTCTACTTCTTGGCTGCTATCTAACTGTAGTTTTTCTCTCATGGATTTCTTACTCAACACTCAGTCATACCCCTTGTTTCTTTGTTAAGTCTTGAATACTCTTAAATTCCTGGTTCTTCTTTTTATCTCATGATATTAGTTCTTTATACTTGGCCGCTTCCGTAACAATTGTTTCTTCAATCTTTAACACTCATACGAGTTTTTTTCAATTGGACGACCTGTCCAATTGTTTAAACTGATCTACCTAGCATCCGGGTCAAATCCAGAATCACCAATTTAAATCGTCCTAAATCTGTAACTTTCTACTGGTACTGCCACTGCTGTATCTACTGCTACTGTTACTGGTATTATAGCTACTTATCTACATCTGTATCTACTGATATTGTTATTGCTGTTTCTTTTTATTGCGACTACTTTGTCTAATGTATCTACTTCTGCTGCTACTGCTGTATTCCCTGCTACTGCTTTATCTACTGTATCTACTTCTGCAGCTACTGCTGTTTCTACAGCTGAGTGCTTGTGTGCTACTGCTGTATCTATTGTTGAGTACTGCTGCAACTACGATTCTACTACTATTGCTAGTGCTCTATCTACTGTATCTACTGCTGAGTGCTGCTGTTGTATATCTTCTGTTACTGACCTGTAAATAATAATCTCTGTATCAGCTGGTGGATCTATACTCTCTATACACGTATTCATCTCCTCTAAACATTTACCTAAACATAAACAATATTAAATATGTAAACAAATCAATCAATCTATCAAAACTACAAACGCACCCATTAACCAAATCTATTCATGAAATATTTTCTCCATCCAATCCCCTCCATAAACTATTTCATATCCATCCAAGGGTAAGAAACAATATTTTTAATAATGAAACACTTAAAACCCTTCATAACACCTTTATTGTTATTTACAAAAACAAACATGAAGTAAAGTAAATAAAATAAATGGAGAGGATGACACGATTAATAACGGTTGATGCTGATATATTAAAAGGATGGCACACGTTTTAACTTTTTTGATGACAAAAGCTTTTAACTTTTTGTAGATTAGACCTGCTCTTTAGATTTTAAACCAATCATCGTCCATTGTCTTAACGTAAAATTGAAATGACCCTTTAAATAAGAAGTGTCGTAAATCATTTACAACAATGAACTTTAAAACTTATCAGATAAACGATTGCATATATAACTTGAGAAGGTTAGCAGCTATTTGTGACTGTTAGTTAAGATCGGATTTAATTCTATTAACGATAAAAAACGATCGCTTTTTTGAATTTTCGTCGACACAAAATAAAAAAATAAGAGCGTTAAAAGTGTAGAACTTTAATGATTGTAAATGTACATAAGAATTCTGGAAAAAATGCTCCGACTAAAAAATGTTTATTGTTTAATGTACGTAAAACAGGGGCACCCCATTCATATTGAAGTGAAGAGTGATTAAAAGTTAAAATGGATAAAAATAGAAACATATATATATATATATATATATATATAACATTATTTCTATAATTATCAACTTATTGACCCCCCCCCCCCCCCCACTTGAAAGAATGGTATATGTATTATATATGTGGGATACCGAGTGACTGAATAAATTGCTGATGCCTTAATAAAGAAGAATCTATTTTTGATTATACACTAATTTCTTTAAACTTATTTTCACGCTTATTTACACTTACTAGTCCACTCTTTTAATATTTAAAATTGAAAATACATATTTGATCTTTAACAAGATTTTATTCAACGTTAATCTTAGTAAACTTATATTTAACACGTTACGTAAGAGTGTAACGTAAATTACTTTAACAGTCCCTTTAACTTTGATCGTTATCAACATACCCTTTAATGGTTGAATTTAGTCATTGTATTCAAAATGAAAAATTTGCTAAATATTTTACAGAAGTGTCATGAAATCTTTCAAATAAAGATGGAAAATGCAAAAATGAAAAGTGGGGATTTTAAACTACTTATTTATAAACGGTTTTTGTAAGATTAGCTGTAGTTTAATATTTATAGTCTGTGACGGCTTTTCAAAATGCATATTTGGACTTCTTGTCTAAACAAATAAAAATGCCAGGAATTGCATTTTTGGTTCTGCTTTGTGATTGCAGTCGGAGTAGAACCAAGCCTGTAATATTCAATCATTGGAAATCTAAATGCTTGAAGCAGAAATATGAATTTTCTAGAATTTTCTAGATTCTCTAGATTCTCTTGGTAGTAATTTTAGCATAGAATCTAGTCTATTTTCTGTCCATCAATCAACCCGATATAAAAGTGCAAGGTCTGACTTGGATAAAGCTTTGATGATAAGATGATATGATGTCCTAAAGAAGGTCGGCTCTTGATTGATTATCTATTAGGTTCAAATTGAGTTTTGTATTAACAATAGCAGTAGACTCTTTATGAACCATAGCCGTAGATTTTTTATGAACAATAACAGTACATTCTATATGAACCATAGCAGTAGACTCTTTATGAACCATAACAGTAGATTTTTTATGAACAATAACAGTAGATTCTATATGAATCATAGCAGTAGACTCTTTATGAACCATAACAGTAGATTTTTTATGAACACATAGCAGTAGACTCTTTATGAACCATAACAGTAGATTTTTTATGAACAATAACAGTAGATTCTATATGAACCATAGCAGAAGACTCTTTATGGACCATAGCAGTACATTTTGTATGGCCCATAGCCGTAAACTCTTTATGAACCATAGCAGTAGATTTTTTATTAACCATAGCAGCAGATTCTGTAGGAACTATAGCAGTAGATTTTTTATTAACCATAGCAGTAAATTTTTTATGAACCATAGCAGCAGATTCTGTAGGAACCATAGCAGTAGATTCTTTATGAACCATAGCAGTAGATTTTTTTATGAACCATAACAGTAGATTCTTTATGGACCATAGCAGTACATTTTGTATGAACCATAACAGTAGATTCTTTATGGACCATAGCAGTAGATTTTGTATGAACCATAACCTAGTAGATTCTTTATGAACCATAGCAGTAGATTTGTATGAACCAAAGAAGTAGATTCTTTTTGAACCATAACAGTAAAGTTAGATGTATGCTAGGGGTACTGTAGACTGTACACCTACTTCTACCAAAAATAAAAAATATTTTGAAATTGTTTACAGATTTTTGTTCAGTTTAAATTTTTAGAAAAAAAAATAGTAAATCTTTTTCTGCTTATAGTGAACGAAGGTAGTGTACAGACCGTAGTTAATTTAACGCTACTCTTTAAATGGGAGGATCAAATGAATTTCAGTTTACAAGTGACTAGAACCTCTTTAAGAGAGTATTTATAATGCCCCTCCCCTCCCACCTAACTTGCATATACTATTATCTAACCACTGTAAAGCGTGACTTAGAAAAGTTTTGTTTGTCGGATTTGTAAGAATATGTCAAGCAGTTGACAAGAATAGTGGAAACTGTCTCCTCTTCTTTAAGTTTATATCAATACAAAACCATAGTTTAGAAATGTGTCCACCTACCCATCCATGTATATTCTAAATCTATGTATTCTCTATCTAATCTAGGAAATTTATAAAGGTTTAGAAATATGTCCACCCACCCATCCCTATATATTCTAAATCTATGTATTCTCTATCTAATCTAGGAAATCTTGAAAAGGTTTAGAAGTGCAGAGTCTAACTGGTAACAAAAGACATTTGGCTATTGCCTGGTCAAATTCCAAAACTTAACCTTGGTGAAATAGTCAGAAAAAAAATGCTAATGTCAACCAAAAAAAAGTAAAATATTAACCATAAGAAAGTATTTATGATTAAGACTAATAAATGTGTTAACTTTAACTAGGCAGCTTAAAATGTTAATTAAAATAAAAATTTTGGGTTTAGATGAACCGATGCTGTAGAACAGTATTTTTTATCTTTTTGTGTTTTAAGAGTGTAACTTCAAACAAAAAAATTAGTTTAAAAGTGAATGATTAAATAGTTTCTACAACAGAAAATGCATTGATGGATCAGATAACACCTCGTTACCGCTATAGCTTGTAAATACAAAATATCCCGTTAAATGTAAAACATTAAATCTCAAAGGAAAGCAAAATATAGGAAAACTATTAAATGGAAAAAAGGGAATGTTCTCGAAAAATTAAGAGATCTTTAAATTCACTACAATTAGGAACTACTTCCAATAGGAAACAAAAAACCACTAAAAATAATTATCTTATTTAACATTTTATGCAGATTGAAAATGCAAACGCGTAGACAAAATCTGCCTCGTTCATGTTTGCATGAAATGCATAGCTTGCATAGTTTTATGGATTTTAGCGAAGCAAGCTTCGAACAAAGGGGGGGGCCACAAAACGTATTACTCTCCGGAAAATTTAAACAGTGGTTAAACATAACTTAGAATTGTCGTAGGAGGCTGATTTTTTGCATGCAAACTCAGAATTATGTATATTACGTGCATTTTTTGGTTTTGAAGGAATCTGAGCAAAAGTGCGTGCGCGCGCGCGTTTTTTGTGAAAAAATGCGACTTTTTTGACAGTAAATCAATGTTAACTTCATTAATTGCACTTGAAAATTTTTCCTGACACTCTTGAAACAAATATGCGCTAAAAAAATTCAACCC